CCTTAACCTAACCCTAACCCTAACCTTTATGTGAATCGGCTTGCTTTAATTTTATTTTAATTTTAATTTTATTTATTTTTTAATTTTTTTCGTCACACTGCTGACGTCAGGTACGCGCTTTCGTCGAGCGCGGTTTTGTCAACCGCGGTTTTGACAGGTCACGGTGGAAACCACACTAACAAATGATTATTCTGTTGCAATCAAATATATTATACTAGTCTGCCAATCCCCGTGCCAAAATCTAGACAGATAATCTATTTTGAGGATAGATATGCATATCGTTATCCGGGATATGAGATCTGATTGATAGAACATACTAAACCATCCATCATGATTAACAAACCCGACAGGGGAGTTCACACAATACACTATGTCAAAACCACATTATGGCTTAATGTGATACTGGAACCTGATTAAGAGCTGCATGTAAATGAGAACTTCTGAAAATATTCGCGGCCATATTCCCACCGTTCTTCTCTGCCCCTTCTCCTCTTGTGCACGCACCAATGAGATTTTTTCTCATTGGTGCGTGCAATTTCTCATAATCAAAGACCCAATGCACAAGTTCCATTGCTCGGTTTCGGCCTTGGAACTACTTATTAAACAGTTTGCTACCATTATAAAACGTGGCTCCGAGAGGAGGCTGCTCAGCGGGAAACCTACCAAGAGCGCCTTGCATCATCACCAACTAAATCACACCTACCTATTGCAAGGGGGAAGGTGCTGTCTTTGAGGCGACGCCCCTTACCTGCTGCTGCCCTTGTTGGGTCTGCTGAGAGGTTTGTTGATTGGAGGAGTTTGTGGCAGCGGCGGCGGCGGCTTGTTGCTGGAAAAGACTGGCGGGATATACTCCCCAGGGAGCTACTCCATAATATTGATGGGGGACAACGGCAGGCCCTAAAACACCGACAAAAGGACTGGCTTTATCATTTACTAGTAGCATCACAGGGATTAGCAGCTCAAATTAATCTGCCATCGACTGAACAAGAGAAACGAAGAGTAGCTGAAGTGGAACCCCATCTGGCCCAAGGGGAGAAGGGAATGAAGGAGGTATCCATGCCATGTGCCCAGTTTTCTATATTTTGTTTCAGTTTTCGGCAAAAATAGTCCTTGACTTACAACGGTTCGTTCAGTGACCATTACAAGTTACAACGGCACTGGCAAAAGTGTCCTACCGCCCTTTTTTCATACTTTTGACCATGTTTCACTGGTTACGTGATTAAAAAATTCAGATGCTGGACAACTGGCTTGTATCTATGACGGTTGCAGCGTCCTGGGCTTGTGCGCTCATCTCTTGTGACTTGCAAGCTAGGCCAATGGGGGAAGCCAGATTCAATAAACAACTTTATCACTAGCAATTGCAGCGATTCGCTTAACAACTGTGGCAAGGAAGACCGTAAAATGGGACAAAAACCGCTTAATGGATG